TTCTAATAGTAGAGCAGGCTGAGCGTCGTTTGACTTTTCCTGATGGTCAGGTCTCGTTTAGAATTATTATTTTTCCCAGCTTTATTGAAATGCTATTGACATATAACACATGTAAGTTTAAGGTGTATAGTATGATGATTTGACACACATATATATTGCAAAATGATCACCACAATGTTAGTTAATACCTCCGTTACTTCACGTCATTACCTTTTGTGTGTGTGTGTGGTGATAGCATTTAAGATCTACTTTCTTAACTTGCAAATATATACCACAGTATTATTAATTTTAGTCACCATGCTATACATGAGATTTCCAGAACTTACTCAGGTTATGACTGAGAGTTAGTGCCCTTTGGTGAACGTCTCTCATTTTTCCTCAGCCCCTGGCAACCACTGTTCTACTTTCCCTTTCTATAAGTTCAGCTCTTTTATATCTGTAGATATATGTGAGAATATACAGTATTTGTCTTTCTCTACCTGACTTATTTCACTTAGCATAACGACCTCCATGTCCATCCATGTCGCAAAAGACAGGATTTTCTTTCTTTTTATGGCTGAATAATATTTTATTGTATATAGTACACACCGCGTTTTCTTTATGCATTCATTCATCAATGGACACGTGGGTTGTTTCCATGTCTTGGCTGTTGTGAATACTACTGCTGTGACCATGGGGGTGCATGAACTTTTCAAGTTCATGTTTTCGTTTTCTTCAGATAAATACCCAAAAGTAGAATCTCTGGATTATATGGTAGTTCTGTTTTAATTTTTTGAGGAATTTCTATATTGTTTTCCATAATGGTGACAACAATGTACGTTCCCACCAAGAGTGCACAAGGGTTCCCTTTTCTGCACAGCCTCACAACACTTGACCCTTGTCTTTTTGATAATCGCCACCCTAACAGGTGTGAGGTGGTATCTTGCTGTTCGCTTACTTTAATAACCCTGCGTTTACCATGTTACCACCGTGCGACGTAAGTTCAGTCTAGAGGGCTGCAGGTGCAGCAAAGCCTCCTGGTGCACACAAGCTTGTGTACCTCACTGTGGCTTGGATTTGCATTTCCCTGATGATTAGTGATGTCAAGCATCTTTTCATGTATCTGTTGGCCATTTATGTGTCTTCTTTGGGAAAATGTCTATTTATGTCCTTTGTCCATTTTTAAACAGAATTTTTTGGGGGTTGCTATTATATTGTATAAGTTCCTTACATCTGTTTTGTATGAACCCCTCATCTAATCACTTGTAAGCATGCTTTCCCATCCTGTGGGCTGCCTTTTGATTTTCCTGACTGTTTCTTTGGTTATGAAGAAGCTTTTTAGTTTGATGTAGCACCTACCACTTGTTTATTTTTGGTTTTGTTGCCTTTGCTTTTGGTGTCATATCCAAAAAATCTTTGCCAAGAGCAATGTCAGGAGCTTTTCCCCTGTTTTCTTTTAGTAGATTTATGATTTTGGGTCTTACATGTAAGTGTTTAGTTCATTTTGAGTTAGTTTTTGTGAGTGGTGTGAGTTAGGGGCTCGGGTTCATTCCTCTGCGTGTGGATGTCCAGTTTCTCGGCAAGTTTATCAGACTGTCCTTTCCCCCACTGAGTCTCCTTGCCTCCCTTGTCAGGTATCGGTTGACTATGTATAGGTTTACTTCCGGGCTCTGGATTCTGTTCATTGGCTTATGTTGATTTTTACGCCAGTGCCACGCTGTCCCTGTGGCTGTCGCCTGGCAGAGTGGCTTGAAGTGGGGCAGTGTGGTGCTGCCAGCTTCTCCCTCCTCCTCAGCCTGGCTTTGGCTATTGAGAGCCTTTCGTAGTTCTGTACGCATTTTGTGACTGCTTTTTCTATTTCTGTGAAATCTATAGATGGATTTGGGTGGTATGGACCTTTTATTTATTTATTTTTCAAATTCTCACCTGAGGATATTTTTTCCATTGCTTTTCAGAGAGAGTTGAAAGTGGGGGGATGTGAGAGAGACACATCGATGGGTTGCCTCCCGCACGCACCCCAACTGGGGCCGGGGATCGAGCCTGTAACTGAGGTACATGCCCTTGACCAGAGTCAAACCCTGGACCCTTCAGTCCATGGGCCAACACTCTAACCACTGAGCAAAACCATCCAGGGCTAGTATGGACATTTTAACAATATTAATTCTTCCAATCCATGAACACTGGACATGTTTCCATTTATGGATGTCTTCTGTTTCTCTCACCAATATTTTATAATTTTTAGGGTATAGATCTTTTACTTCCTTGATTAAATTTATTTCTAAGTATTTTTAAAATTGTTTATATTTTAATTTTAGCAATCAGGTCTTTGCTGTAAATCTGGTGATGGCTTTGGGAGACTGATGAAATGTGCAAGTCCCTTGTCCCTGCACCAAGTCCCTCGCCTGGTGCATGTTGCATGGTCCCATGTTGGCTCTTGTGTCTTCTCTGCTTTGTCTTTACTTACCCTATTAGTCTCTCTCAGTTCTCCTGCTTCTGTGGACCTTTCTTTGCTTCACATATGTACACACAAACACTTAATATTTACCCCAAATAGGAGTTAGTCGGAGGTCCTGAGAGACTCTCTGCTTGGGCCTTAGTGTATGGACTGGAAACGTTTCTGGTTGCTTAGAGGCACCTTCTGCACATTCTATAAAATTTCAGCTGTGTATTTCATGCCCTACAACCCACAGGGACAGAGTTTTCCAGGGGCCTTTTTGGTGGAGTATCTTGAAGTGGGCCGTTGGGCCTCCTTGAGCTGGGTGGTCCTTGCCAGCCAGGGAAAACCTCCCACATCTCCTGCTCTGCTAGGCTTGGGCTGCTCTGTAGCACATGCCACCTCTGTCCATGGCATTTCCAAGTCTAAGTATCAGAGCCCTGGAGTATCTGACTTTAAAGTCCACTGTCCAGGAGAATATAAGGATGTGCTCCCTGAAGACGAAGTGCCTTCTGGCCCTCTGCTGCCCTGAGTGTGGAGGCGGAGCCTCAGCAGCCCTGCCACCTCCACCACCCTGCTCCTCTCTCTCTCCGTGTGCTTCCCACCACACCTGCCCTTCCCCAGCCTCCTCATGAAATAAACCATTCTTCCTGCCACCTGCCTCGCCCAGCAGCCCATCCTGTGCAGTAAAATTAGGAGGAGGCTTTTAGAGGATCCAAGAAGGAAAGGCGACTAAGTTCCTTGAGGGCAGGTCACCGTGAGAGAGAAAGCTGGTACCTTGTGGTCACCTGGAGTCCAGCATGAGCAGAGGCTAAAAAAGAGAACACCCCCTTGCCTGAGAAAAACCTCAGCAGCCGAGGACCTTGGTCTTCCTCGGTAGGCTGAGCGGAATGGGAGCCTCCTGTGGGGCAGGCAGTCGTGGAGAAGGAACAGCTATGACTGGTGCGGAGCTGCCAGGCTCAGGGCACCTGCCAGCTCTGGCCTTTTCAGTGAACTGACTGGCACCTGTACACCATGGCTTCCTCATCTCCTCAGTGGTGTAGTACCTAGCTTACAGGGCTATTTTGAGGACCAAATGAGGGAACGGGGAATCTGGCGCATGATGCCTATGGTCTCTTGGGTGCAGAGATGAGGGCTCCAGAGAAGGCTGGTTGGAGTTCCCACCCTGTGTCTGGCACTGACCAGAGACTTTTACCTAAACCAGTCTCTTCACCTTTCTAAGCCTCTTAACAGTAAGAAAATGGGATAACAACATCCATTTACAGAGAATGAGTTGTGAGGATCGAGTGAAATTCTGTGTGTGGAAGAATCCTTTGCAGCACCTGGCACATGGCCTGCATTTAGGTAGTGTCAGGGTTATGACTTCCTTTATGGCCTTGCTGCGTGAACCAAGCACAGTGGAGTGGCTGCATAAGGTAACCAGTGGTCAGGTTAGTTTGGGCAAATGAGGCAGTTAGAAGTGTCCTGTTGCTGGTGATGTCCTTCCGAGAAGGCATTCCCCACTAGTCAACTGTGGCACTGGGGATGCTGACATGGGAAAGGTCAGGCCATTGTACGGGTTGATTTCCAGAGAGCTAATTCAGAAAGCTGTGCTCAGGGCTGGAGAGACCCTCCAGTTGGTACCCTCCTGAGTTCTAGGGCCTCTCCCTGGTCCTGAGGGGACTGAGAAGCTGTCCCGTTACTCAAGTATGTACTGCAGCCTTTGGAATGGTAATCATATTGGCATAGTTCCCATTAACTGGCTCCTCCCCTATGCAGGGCACCGTGCTAGGTCCTTACTACAGTCCTGGAAGGAGGTGCTTATGTGCCCACTTTACAGATGAGGAAGCTGAGGCCAAGACAGACTTGTCCTGGGCCATTGAGGGAGAAAGTGGTGGAGCTGAGATTCAAGCCCACACTGGCCATCTGGCCAGAGCCCACGTGCACCTGTGCTTTTCTGAATAGCTAAGGCCTGCGTAACTAATTTTTCCAGATGAGAGAGAAGTGGACAGGGTTTGAAGTGTACATGAACCTTAAAACCTACTGGCAGCTGAGGCCCACAAAGCATTTATTAAGGATGGAAATTCCTTTGTCATTTTCAATTTTAATTGCAGAAGCAGGGTTGTGGTGTGTGTGTGTGTGTGTGTGTGTGTGTGTATGTTTGCTTCCTCACATACAAGGGCCAGTCACTCACTGGGCAACTCAGGCTGTCACAGCAGCCTTCTCTGTGACAGAGCATGTGTCCCATTGGCTAATGCCTCATATCTAGGAGCCCAGAGGAGGACTTAAAATGCTCATTTTCAGAGTTTGCTCAGTCATTTTGATCCCACTGAAACACCATCATCCTTCTCATGTGAAACTGATGCCTAACTTAACAACTAATTGCCTGATTTTTGTGCAGGGACAGTCAGCAGGGGGCCGCCCTCACCCCTGAGGAAAGCCTGGATTTGAGTGTGAGGATGCCCAGGCCAGTTAGGTTTGGTTCTAAAGGACATTGCTGGGAAGATGATCTGGGAGAAGGCAAGGGGGGTGGAAACTGAGCCTCTGTCCTCTTCCTATGCGGCCCCTCAGGCTCCATGGCGGTCACCTGTCTCTCCCTCCACATCAGGTGCTGGAGACGTGTGTGAAGAACTGCGGCCACCGCTTCCACGTCCTCGTGGCCAACCGGGACTTCATCGACAGCGTTCTGGTCAAAATCATCTCTCCCAAGAATAACCCTCCTACAATCGTACAGGACAAGGTGCTTGCCTTGATCCAGGTAGGTCAGCTCCTCTTGTCTAGTTTGTTGGTACAGAGTCAGATGAGGCCTCTCAGTGGGTCCTCATGCTTGCCCATCATTTGGAAGAAAGAGTGGGGATTTCTGGGTTTAGATATTTGCTGCATAATGCTTCCTTTTACACTCATCGACTGGCATGAAACCCTCAGTGGTGGCTCTCCAGCCAGCTGACAGAGGCTTCACTGAAGTTTTCTGGGTGCCTTGGCCTCTACTGCCCACAGGGGCAGGTGGGGGTCCTTGACAGGACTCTGAGCCATCAGGGACAACGTGGAGTAGGCAGGGCTGTGTCAGAGATGTTTGCAGGCCTTCTGAGTCCCAGGGTTGAGCCAGCTCTGGGGCTGCAGGGGAGTAGGGGCAGATGGTGTTTGGAGTGATTCACTGAGGAGATGACATCTCTTTTTGACCCTGAAGGATGGTGAGGAGCTTGGTGGAAAGATCAGAATGCAAGAAGCATCGCAGGCAAAGAGAATAGCATATGCAAAGACCCGGATCTATCCAAGAGGACAGTTGACACATTTGGGAGGCATTCATTATAAATGGCTCTGTAACAGATTATCCCAAGATTTAGCAACTTAAAACAATAGATGTTTATTATCTCCTAGTTTCTATGGGTCAGGAATTCAGGAGAAGCTTAGCTAGGGGATTCTGGCTCAAGAGCTCTCAGGAGGTGGCAGTGAAGATGATGACCAGAACTGCCTCATCTGGAGACTCAGTGGTGGCTCACCCACAGGGCTATGGGCAGAAATCCTCAGTACCTTGCTGACTGTTGGTAGGAGGCCTGAGTTTCTTGCCATGTGGACCTCTTGAGTGTCCTTGTGACATGACAGCTGGTTTTCCCTAGAGCAAGTGATCCGAGAGAAAATGATGGAGAAGCTGTCGTGCCTGACAGGACTGGGTCTCAGAAGTCACACAGCATCTTCTTGTTCGGTCTGTTTGTTAGAAGGGAGTCATCAGGACCAGCCTCAAAAGTTGGGGAATTAAGCTGTGCCTCTTAAAGAGAGGAGGGTGTCTTAAAACCATCACACAGAGAGTAGAGGGTAATGAAGAATGCGTGGGGCCAGGAGATAAGACCAGAAAGACGGTCAGGGCTAATGGGCCACATATATGCTGAGGACTTTATGCTTTATCCTGTAGGCACTGGGGAGCCATTGAATGTTTCTGAGCTGGCTGTACACAGTCAGATCTGGAGTTTAGACAGAGCACCCTGGTGACAGGGTGAAAGGCACATACGTCAAAAAGCACATCCAATGTGGGGTGATTAGTGCTATAGTAATAGTACAGGAAAGATAAGAGCCTGCAGGAGCCAAGAGGAAAGGAGTACCAACCTAGGGGGTGCGAGTACGGCTAAGAAGTCAGGGGACAGTGTGACTAGGGGATGGGCTTTGGAGATGGTGGTGGCACCTGAAAAAAGAGAGGAGCCTAAACCAAGGAGTCTACTGGCTCTGTCCTTTTTACCTGCACCCTGTGCCTGAAAATCTCCCCGCACTTGGGGCAGGTAACTCCTCCCCGTCGTCCAGACAGGCCTCAGAGGACTCTGCTGTCAGGTTTGTAGCACGCTGTCTCCCATCACCCTTTTCTATGGTCTTCAGGCCCTTCTGTGCCACCTTTTCCAACCTCTCTCACTCAGCTCCCTGCAGGCCCAGGGACGCTGTATCCCAGGGTCTCGAGCAGTTGGCTCTGTTGAGCAGGTGTTCAGCACGTCTCCCTTCCTTCCTTCCTTCCTTCCTTCCTTCCTTCCTTCCTTCCTTCCTTCCTTCCTTCCTTCCTTCCTTCCTCCCTCCCTCCCTTCCTCCC